GAGAATAGAAGAACTGCAAAGTAGTCTAGAGGCGCGTGAGTTGCGTCTGACTGAAATAACTTCTGAGAGAGAAGTTGAGCAGGCTTTGAAGGCTTCTTTTGTCAAGAAAGACCAGAAGCATTCTTGGTCAGAAACCAAGAATATACGTGGTGATAGATTCCAGAAGTCAGAAATCTCTACTTATGATGAGAAGAAACATCAAAAGGAAAATAAGAAGTTTGACAAGAAGAAGGTTCAATGTTATTGCTGTAAGTAGTTTGGCCATTTCGCTAAAGATTATTGGTCAAACAAGGGAAGGAAATCAGAAGAAGTAAATATAACCAGAGGGAATTCTGATGATGAACCTATGCTACCGATGGCTTATGAGTCTGATGAAAAGTGTTTGGCAGACTGATGGTATATGGGCATTGGCTGTTCAAATCACTTGACTGGAAATAAACAATGACTGATAAATTTTGACTCCAGAAGGAGGATAAAAATCAGATGTGCTGATGATAAATACCTTAATTTAGAAGGTATGGAAAATGTCAAAGTTAAAGTGAAGAATGGGAAGACCGTTATGATCAAGGATGTTTGGTATGTTCCTGGAATTAATAGTAATCTGATGAGTGTGGGTCAGCTCGTTGAGAAAAATTTCTCAGTTATTACGAAGGACAATCTCTTGAAGTTGTATGATTCTAATCAGAAGCTGATTATGCAATTTGAGTAGGAAAGCAACAAATCATTCAAGGTGAATGTTGAAACAACTGAAACAAAGTGTCTTAGTGCAGAAGGCGTTGAAGATGGTAGTAAGTTGTGGCACAAGAGGTTGGGGCATATGAGCTACTATGTAGGGCATCTGAGTTCTAAGAAGCTCGTGCGTGACATTCCAAAGATTGTGAAGTTTGAGAAGTCATGTGAGATATGCATGACAGACAAGCAACCCAGATTGCCATTTGTGTCAGAAGTAGCTCCAAGAGCAAAACATGCTTTAGGAGTAGTGCATTTTGACGTGTGTGGACCATTTCCAGAACCTTCACTTGGAAGAAATAGATATTTTGTGTCGTTTGTGGATGAGCTCACAAGAATGACGTGGGTAACACATCAAGTTTAAGAATGAGGTGTTTACCGAGTTCCAGAAGTTCAAGGTGAAGGCTGAGAAACAAAGTGGTCAGAAGCTGAAGATTCTCAGAACGGATGCTAGAGGTGAGTATAATTCTACAGAATTCCAAAAGTTCTTTGATGAGAATGGAATTGAGCATGAGATTACTGCTCCTTATACTCCTCAACACAATGGTCTTGTTGAAAGAAGAAATCGTACTTTGCTTGATATGATCAGAAGCATGCTGAAAGAGAAGAAGCGTGCTGAAAGAGAAGAAGCTACCTCATAACTTGTGGGGAGAAGCTGTGGCCACGTCATCGTATGTGCTTAACAGGTGTCCAACGAAGAAGCTAAAGGAAATTGTTCCTTTAGAAAAGTGGACTGGAGACAAGCAAAGTGTTAGCCATCTGAAGATGTTTTGTTCTGTATGTTACAAACACGTTCCAGAAATTAGAAGGAAGAAGCTGGATGATAAAAGCAAAGTAATGATTCTGGTGGGGTACCACAACACAGGTGCATACAAGCTTTATTGTCCAGAACGAATAATGTTGAAGTCAGCGGAGATGTCATTGTAAAGGAATCAAAAGTATGGGTTTGGAGTAAGTCTCAATCTATATCTGAAGATAAGTCAGGACTTGATAGTTCTGAAGAAGAGTTAGAGTCAGATGATGATTCTGGAAACTCTGAAGATGAGTCAGATGGTGAATCTGATTCTGATCTAGATTTTGATGATGATCCAGAATCTGGTTGTGGTCATGCTTCTGGAAGGAAAAACTCTAAAGACATAGGTTCTAGAGGACAAGTTTCTGAAGATGATCACGTTTCTGGTGAAGGTCATGATTCTGAAGGTGGAACTTCAGAAGATAGAGGTTCTGAAGGCCATCCAACTTCTGAAGGTGGTCAAGTATCTGATATTGTTCCAAAATCAGAAAGAGTTTCTAAACAAGTTCAGATGCCACAAAGAATCAAACAAATTCCAAGCAGGTTTGTAGATTTTGACATGTTGCAAGACACTGAAGTAGATTCAGAAGGAGAAATTGTTCAGTGTGCCATGTTAATAGACTCTGAATCTATGAGTATTGAAGAAGCTCTCAAGAAAAAAGTAAGGCTGAATGTCATGAAAGAGGAACTTGGGGCTATAGAAAGAAATAAGACTTGGAAGTTGACTAAGCTTTCAGATAAGAAGAAAGCCATCAGCGTCAAGTGGATTTCAAGGTCAAATATAAGCTAGATGGATCAATTGGCAAGCATAAAACAAGGCTAGTGGCTAGAGGTTTTCTTCAGAAACATGGGCTAGATTACTTTGAAGTGTTTGCCCATGTAGCTGGATATGAAACAATCAGATTGGTGATTGCTTTAGCTGCAAATAGAAATTGGCCTCTGATGCATCTGGATGTGAAGTCTGCATTTCTGAATGGTCCATTACAAGAAGAGGTATACATGTCACAACCTCATGGATTTATGAAAAAGATTCAGGAAGGGATGATGTACAAATTACATAAAACTATGTATGGATTGAAGCAAGCACCCAGAGCTTGGAATTTGAAGATTGATTCATTTTTCAAGAAGCAATGTGTTCAGAAGTGTGAGATGGAATATTGTGTGTATGTTCAGCATTCTGAAAGCAATATGATTCTGGTATGTCTTTATGTTGATGAAATATAGCCGACGAGAAGTTGTTCTGAAGAAGTTGTCAAGTTCAAGAAGATTCTGATGAATGAGTTTGAGATGACTAATCTAGGAAAGCTGGTTTACTTTCTAGGGATGAAGGTATTGTATTCTGAAAAGGGTATGATTTTGCATAAGCTGAAGTATGAACTTGAGCTTCTGAAGAAATTCAAGCTGGAGAATTGTAAGGCCGCTATTACACCATTAGAAATCAATCTAAATTGGATTCTAACTCTGAGGGTGAAGATGTGGATGCTACGATCTTCAAACAGTTGGTTGGTTCTCTAAGGTATTTGTGTAATATCAGACCTGACATTTGCTATGCAGTTGAGATAGTTAGTAGGTTCATCAGTAAACCTAAGTGGTCTCATTATCAAGCTGCTGTCAGGATTCTGAGGTATATCAAGGGAACTTTGAAGTTTGGAGCACTATTACCTTCTGGAAGAAAGACAGATTCAGAGTTGATGAGTTACTCTGATTCTGATTGGTGTAGAGATAAAGTTGATAGAAGAAGTACTTCTGGATACTTGTTTAAGTTTCTTGGAGGCCATATTTCTTGATTTTCCAATAAGCAATTTGTTGTTTCTCTATCAACGTGTGAAGTTGAGTATATTGCAGGTGTCGTAGCTGCATGTCAAGCTGTGTGACTTCTGAATTTATTGCACGATCTGAAGATCAACGTTGTTAAGCCTTTGAAGCTGATGATTGATAACAAGTTTGCAATCAATCTTGCCAAGAACCCGGTACTACATGGGAGAAGCAAGCATATTGAGACAAAATATCATTTTCTCAGAAGTCAAGTCTAGAACGGAGTACTAAAAATTATGCACTGTAGCATCCAGAAGCAGCTGGCAGATATCATGACAAAGACAATCAAGACCAATCAATTTCTCCGCTTAAGGGATGAAACTGGTGTAGTTAATTTTTAATTAGAAATTCTAAATTAAGGGATGATATTACAGGGTATTTTAGTATTTCTAATTGTTTTAGATAACTTAGTTAAGTCTATTCTATTAAGACATATGTGACATTCCTTTTGTATATAAATAGACTAGTTGTAAATGTCATAAATACAACAATATTTATTCTTCTTGCAGCTTTTACAGACGTCATTCTCTCTACTCTCTTAAACATATTCCTTTGTTCATCATTGATTCTTGTACACTAACAAATAGTTCTCCACCGTGAAAACCAGAAGCGACAAATTGTTGCTTCAACATAAACGCAATAATGTACCGTGATTTTGGATAATGAAACACCACTCCAACATGCTATTAGGCTTTCTTTAAATGTGTTAATGGCAACAAGAAAGAATGTATAGGTAACTACTAACTAGCATGTGATTTGTGTAAAGAGTGATGGTTGCAAAGAAAATTTCAGAACATTTAAATGAGGTACTGTTACCCTTTACTCTTTCACCAGTGTACTATAGAGTATTGCCCCCTTAACTTGAGACATGGTAGTCATGAGATTCATCATCAGTCTAGTAAGTTGGTAAGTTACCAACTATGTAGCACCGACCCTTCTAAAAAAAGACGTGTCAGTGTTAGTATTAGTGTCTGAAACCAATACCGATATTAACATTTGTGATTGCATTTAATTTATTTATTTTTTCTAATTGTTATTAATGTCGACGTGTCAATGTTGGTGTAATGTTTCTGGTGTCTGTGAGCAAGATTTGGAGAATAAGATGAGAAATTCAATTTCAAAGTCCGAGATAAAAGCATATAAAACGCCAAACCAAGCATTATCAATTAGGAGGAAATTCGTGCGAATGCAATTTTACTGGAGTATGAACCTCATGGATGGTTAGAATATAGGCAATAATAGAGAAAGCTTCTATGCTTTCATGTTTTCTTAAAAACCTTCATGCTGTTCAACATTCTTCTTTCTATGAACTACAAAGGAGAAATGTTTTGGAAACCAAAATAGTGGTTTTTCATTTTCTGATGGAACTGGAGCATTAGGTGTTAAAGTTCTGCTATCTGTGATTACAAATAACACTAACCAGTTATGAATAAAGGTCAAACAATGCATGTTAGATGGATTTTCACAAACACTGATCCATCCAATCCAATAATTTCTATATGATGTAAAGGGAATAGGAAAAGGAATTTTCTGCGAGAATGCAACTTGTCCAGAGAACCGAACCCTCTCAATTCTCAATTCGCAGAGCAACAATTTAAGGTGCTAGTACTTATACCTATCAGGAGCAGGGGAGTGTAACTCGTGCGGCTGCGTACCTTTTGAGCTATGTGACTATTTTGTTGACAAGGTTGAGTAATATGTTCTCCAACTCCTCCCCGTTGCTCCAATCATGAACTTTTGCATGAACTAGTTTCGGGTCACTGCAAATCCTGTTCCATAAGGGATAATTCTTCCTAGGCATCACAAAATCATTTTCCCCAAGCTTCAAAGTCGGGCAATAATCACCTGTCCCATCTCCAAGGTAGATGAATCTTGTTTCGCTTTCAGCTAATGAACCGCGGATTCTGTCTATTACCAAACCCTGAGATGGAATAGAAGACAATATCAAAGAAAGTGAAGTTGATAGGATCACATAACTCAGTAGATTTCAACTTTTTGCAAGTGGTAAAAATAAGCAAGAGTTTCAAAACAATTGGTATTGAGACTACATCGGCCACATTCCACAATATCAACCATTGCAACGTAACCGCAACAATTAACATGACCGTTATCTAAAACCATGGATATAACACAAAAATCAGCATTACATACAAACATTAATTGTTTTGATTCAAGCATCTCAAACTTAACTAAACTGTTACACAAAATTAAGTTCATTTCAAAACAAATTAAGCAAAACTAACATAAACTTAAACACGACACCGACACTAACACTAACACCGGTAATAATTTGAAAATATGAATAAATTAAACATAATCAGAAGTGTCCGTGTGAGTTTCAGACGCCGACGCAGATAAGAACATACATTTTTTCCGAGGTATCGGTGCTACAGATGCAGAAACACATTCCAAAAGTATTGACTAGTGAAGAAAAGTACATATACCTTGCACATATTGGGAGGGCAAAGATGACAATCATGAGGAGGCAATGACAATGAATCATGAAAAGGAGTAACATGAAGACAACCCTTTTCATCAACAAATGTCGGATTCGTATAAATTTCCGAAAAACACCCTAAAATATCATGGTGTTCAAGAATAGTCTGAATATAGAACAAATTAGCATCACTAACAATCCTCAAATCACATCTGCAAAATCAAAAATCAAAAAATATCAAAATTTTCTACAGCCCATAAACTCAAACAACAATGAATCAGAAAAACACTAACAGTACCCTAGAGATTGTGCAGATTTGATGGCGGAAACGATGTTTGGATGCAAGAAAGCGGTTTTGAGACACTGTGCGATGTCATTGATGGTGATTCCTTTGGAGTGGAGGTGTTGCATGATTGTGTCCATGAGAGAGGTCCATGGAAGGGTGGTTCGGAGTTGGTTGAAAAGGTCGGTGAGACCGGTTTGGTTGATGACCCATCTGTCACTGTCGTCGTCGATAATGGTTCGATCGAAGTCGAAAATCACCACTGCAAGAACCATTTTCTGCAACGTGATAACGAGTTATAGCTCAGCCAATGGGGGTTAAGTAGGAGAGAAAAATGTATTAATTGAACTATTGGCAAATATTTTATATGCATATACCTTTCAAAAATATACTATAGAATAAATATCATCATAATATTTGATATAAGGATCAGTCGTAATAATTTTTTAAATGAGGAGAAATTAAAATAATTTTTGAAAGAGAATTTAATAATGATCATTTGACCACTCGAAATAGTTTCTTCGACAAAGAGAAATTCAAATAATTCTTCAAAGAGATCAAAAATTAAAACTTGAAAATTTCTCAACTCAAACGAAGAGAATTTAACATAATTCTCTAACGAGAATTCAAGAAAATACTCAGAAAGCTCAACGAGTAGAAAGAAAGGGGGTCAAAAACTCCTTTTGTTGAGTTTTTCCTTCCTCGCTCTCATTTTTCTGTAGGCATTAGTCTCATCTTATATGATGTATTATAGACTTTCTTTCTAACTAACCCTTTCGTCAAAGGATCTGCTAAGTTTTCATCAGTGTGTACATTATCCACTCTTACAGCTCCTCTAGAGATACAATCTCTAACAGTGTTTTTCTTTCTTCTAATTTGACGTCTTTTACCATTATAATAACAATTCTCAATTTTTGCAATAACCACAATACTATCGCAATAGATCAACACAGTTGACATAAATTTTCCACAAAGGGATCTCAGCTAGCAAACATCTTAACCAACTTTCTTCTTTGCTAGCAGTCGCTAATGTTATCATCTCAGACTCAATCATGGACTGATCGAAGATAGTATATTTCTTTGATTTCCAAGATACATCTCCTTCAACTATACTAAATATATAGCCATTAGTTGCTTTAGAATCATCTGATAAGATATTCCAATATGTATCACTGTATCCTTCAAGTACAACAAGAAATATATGATACATAAATAGAGATTCACGGTCTTTTTAAGGTACCACATGACTAGCTCAATAGCTTTCCAATACTCATTACCCCATCTACTAGTAAAGTTGTACAACAATCCTACGACATATGCAATGTCGGGTCTAGTACAATTAGTGGCATACCTAAGACTGACAATGATGCTCGCATATTCTATTTATCTAACACTTTCACCAGTTTCTTAAACAGTTTCATGCTTGGATCATATGGTGTCCTCGCAAGTTTACAATCAAAGTAATTATATTTCTTTAAGATCTTTTCCACTTAGTGTGATTTATCCAAATAAATTTCTTGCTCAGATCTCATGATCTTGATACCAAGAATCACACTCGCTTCTTTGAGGTCTTTCATATCAAAGTTGTCGCACAACAACGATTTCATATCATTAACGACTTGAATGTATTATCCAAATATGAGTAAATTGTCTACATATAGACATATAATAATGCAAATGTGATTCTCGGATTTGTAATAGACGCATTTTTCACTTTCATTCACTTTGTACTCATTTGATATCATTAAGTTATCAAAAAATTTGTGCCATTGCTTTGGAGCTTGTTTTATCCCATAAGAATATGCTTATGATTCTCGTAATTCAAATTCTGATGAATTAATGGGAGTCTGTCATGAGATAGACTCTCGTGACCTCTTGTCTTATAATACTACTCACTCATAGTGAGATTAACAACATCTAACTGATTGAAATACATAACATGCAATTGAACAAAATAAAGCAATATAACTAAATTAATTGAAGTAAACTTGATAAAATAAAGAAGCAAGAATTGTTATACAAAATTTGTTGAACTATTACAAGTGAAAGCAAGAAACAAATGCTATAAAACTACAAAGTGGAAGCAAGTACAAGTGATATTTGGTAAGTGATAGGTGATAGAGCTCCCCTAAGTGTCACCCTTAGGTGTCCCCCTTCTAAATCTCAACAAATGACTATTATTTATAAAAGAATTGTCATGTAATCACCTTAAATTTGTGTTAATACAATAGTGGATCATTAAGCATTGAATTGAGTCAGTTTTGAGCTTCCAAAGGTCACAAAAATCACCTTAAATTTGTGCTAAATCAATAACACCCACTAACATCAAGTCTTGTGAGGTTATGGATGTCCAAAAGTCATGAAGATGTTCCAAAAACTCTTAATCAATCATTATTTTGTGCACTATCATAAATGGTCACTTATGGATGAGAAAACGATGTTTTGGAAGTCCAAAAGTCAGGAAAATATTAAGGAATGTCAAAGTTTGCAGTAGAAATCAGGCCTAACACGAGCATTGTCAACTGACACATAGGGGGGTCGTGTCAGGCAATATGATCAGACTGTGTTATCCTCATATTTTTACTATAGGAGCGCCTTTAAGGGCCAATATGACCTGTGTCAGCTGACACGGCCAGACCGTGTTGGCCTCAGGTCTTTTTTGTTGCGGTGACTTGCAAACGTGCGATTTTCCTCCTTTTTCGATTCAATCATGCCTGGCACTTTCTTATTAGCTGAAAGCATAAAAAATACAAAATCACTGAAATCAAACTAAAAAAAATTGAAAACACGCAAGAAAGAGGAAAGAAAATAAGATAAAAATAAGATTAAAAAATCACTTGTCAAATACCCACAAACTTAAATTATTTCTTTACCTCAAGGAACAAGTTTGCCTAGAAAAAATTTGAATCAAGCAGTTAAGTTCTTCAAAAATTAAAAGGATGAAACCAATGGTACTCATACATGGCTTGTTAATTTGACCGGATAAGATCTAAGTTCCTCCGTACTTATTGACACCAAAAGCATTACAAGAACACAAGACTGTAAAATAGATACAGACAAAAGTTTCCTATTTCGGTCACCTCTCTTGCTATGTGAAATTCTGGTATCAGATATGTGATGTCGAAGGAGATGTCACGACACAAATATCTTAGGACAATATAAAATGCAACAATAATAAAATCAGTAAAAACACAAGGGATTGTTAACCGAGTTCAGTGTACAACAACACCTACTCTAGGGGCTACCAAGCCAGGGACAAGTCCACTAAACAATATCAATTCATAGACCCTCAGTAAACAACCAATTTACGATCTAATCACTTAATCACTACCCGTGCTATACTTCTACCTAAGACACACCTAGGTATGAGGCCCTCCTCAAATCCCTTCAATCACTAACAATGAAGAACATCAGAAATATTAAGTTTTAAAGACTTCAATCATTCAATACTTAAAAGCTTATGAATGATCCATAATTAACAACTCAAACTACAACTCAAGTATTAAACCAATACTTAGAGTGTATTACAATTAAAGAACTTAGACTTCTAAAACAAAAAGAATATATTCTTCTTCAAAAGTTGTGGTCAAACGAATAAGGATACAGGTCCTTATAAAGGCGCAACAGTTGGATTGGGCTGAAAAAACAAATATTCCAATTCCTTGAATATTTCCATGAAAACATGCCAAGATTTAATCCATAAGGATAATTCAAATAGAAAAATATTCCTCCATATTTTTCGCAAACTATGAGTCACAAATCGTGAATAATGGCGCGCATAAAAACAGGAAACAAAAAACTTAAACCAGATATGAAGTTCGTTCAACTCAGGAGGGAGATGTCAAGACATCTGCTTTGACATCATTCAAAACAGTTTGCTTCAAATATAAATACATTTAGCAAAACAGTATCAAGTCATTGTTTTATCAAAATTGTTGCCAACAAGCACTTACAAACTCCCCCTTTGGCAAATTTTGGCTAAAACATTATTTGAGCACATTATTAGAGCATTATCAGAGCAGCAGCATAAGAAAAGCATAAGCAAAACAAAAACTCAGTTAGCAATTAGCTGTTAGCATAGGAAGATGTCAGAACATCTTCTGAGACATGAGGCTCCCCCTCAAGTATTAAGCTCCCCCTCAGTCACTGGTCAGTCAGTTTATCTCCCCATTTTTAGTCATAATATGCCAAATAAAAGGATGCATTCAAGAGAGTATCGGTAATATAGGTACAGACCATATAATCCAAAAGTCAAGCACATACAAGTGTCAAAAAGAAACAAAGAGGTTAAACAAGTAAACCGCAAATAGTCTAACTGTCTTCAGGACCAGTAGACTTGGCAGAGCTAGAACTTCCTTCCTCACTAGAATATCCTCCTTCAAAGCTCACTCTATCATCAAAGTTGTTGTCCTTCTGCAGCTTCTTGATCATCTTTTCAAAAGTTAGCTTTCTTGTTGAGCTAACTCTGATCACATCATCAAGTTCTTTGTAGGCTTCCCTTAATTCAGTAATCATGTCATCCTTGGTTGAGGTCTTGTTTTCAGTAGATGCAGATGTCAAAACAATGTCTAGGACATGTTTTCCTGAAAACAGTTTGAAGTGAAGGGTCAAAGAAGACTCCCTCTTGCAGACTACATCATTTCCACTCAGAATTCTAGGATGTGGATTAAGAATAATTCCACAGATAAGAGATGGAAAGGCAATAGGCATCTTGATGGCACATGTTCCTACATGCTTAATAGTCTGATAAAAAATGTAAGTACCATAATCAAACAGTTTCTTGTTTCCAACAACATAAATAAACTTTCCTAAGCCAATAGTGATGGTTGAGGCATGATTGGTAGGAACCCAGTTAGCAGCTCGAATTCTATGCAAGATAGCATATTTCACACTTAGCTTGCTAACATGAAGCTTGTTCTTCATGGGCCACTCACTCACTTGGTTAGCAATGATGGCTTTGCACACTTGATTACCAGTTATTTCCAGCTCACAATAATCATCTTCAGACCTATCCATAAATCTATTGATGATAGCAGGGGAAAATTCTACGCACCTACCTCTAACAAACACCTTTCTATACTCCTTACTTTTATGATCAGCACAATCAATAGGGATATTAACAATAAATTCCTTAACAAATAGCATTTTGCAAACCTGGTAACAGTTTTCATCAATCCAACAGAAGATATCAGCTCCATAATTTCTTTGCACTCCAGTGCACCAGCTCCCAATTCTCTTTCAAGGCAATTCTTCTTTGAAATACATATTTCCACTT